AGAGGACCAATCCAGTTGCTAAATTCAGAAAGAAAAAAATCCTTTAACACTGTGGTGAAGCCATAAGCCATATTTTGTGGATGCTTGATATCGAAAAATCGAATGACAGCAAAACTTCCGTCCGTCTATGAACAACGCTTATCTTTGTTCTAATTGTATAAACTCTTTTAAAAGCCATGACCTTCGTTTTTTGTTTTGATATTTCCATGTTTCATATTTTTTACACATTTGATTTAATTGATGGAGTGTCATTTGAAGATCATTTTTCTTGTCATACATAATAACTTGGTCATCAGCAAATAGCAGAGTATTGATATATAAATATTTTCGTTCACTCTGACCCCTTGTTTTACTTTTAATTTACATTCTCTAAGATCGTAATTATCATTCTCTGTATCGATGTATATGTGTATATATATATATATATATATATATATATATATATATATATATACACACACACACACACACGAAGAAGTTTATTATAATAATACATACATACACACACACACGCACGCACACACAAACACACGCACGCGCACACACACACACGCGCACACACACACATTATTGTATAGATGTAACAGTCTTAAATGGAGAAAAGTGCTTCCATATTTTAGTAATTCTATGTTTATATTATCTATACCACTAGCTTTTCTACATTTCATTTCTTTTAATACTTGTAATAATGCTTCTATTGTTAGTTGATCAATATTATCTTTCTTTTGTTCTTGATGCTCTTCCTTTTCTTCCATTAGGGTTGAACCATATTATACATTATAGTGTTGTAGTAATTTCTCTTCATCTATAACTTTGAATTGAATGGTATCTCTTTCTTTTTAACTGAGTTGTCTCATTACTTTATAGGCTAGTACTAGCTTCCCATGAATATTATTTTCCATTCTATTTATGAAGTTATCCTATGCCTCCTGATGTGCAATACGAGATAGCCTTTTGGCTTCATTTCTCTAGCAGTTATATTCCTTCTTAGTTTCTTCATTTCGTGTTTGAAGATATTTCAAGCTTGCTTTCTTTTTCTGTGCCACTACTTCCTTAAGTTGTTCATTCCATACTCTGAGTCCTTTCTTTTCCCTGAACTTCTTTTTCTTTCCTAGGCTTTCAAAAACTGCTTTTTCTATGTAGGTTTTAATATTTTCCCATTCTTTCTCTACTTTCTCGCTTGTTGGTATATTTTCTAAGTAATGATCTAGTCTCTGTTGATATAGCTTTTTAATACTCTCTTCTTGTAGCAGATATACTTTAAAACCTTCTTCTACATTGTTTTTATTTTTGGAGCTTAGATTTTTCCACCTTTTTGTAATTTAATAGTTGAGACAACCAAATAGTGATCTGAGTATATATCTTTGTCTGTATAAACTCTTGTATCTTGAATTAGGGTTGATAACTTCTCGATAACTATAACATAATCTATGAGTGATCTCCATCCCCTAGAATTCCAAGATTATTTATGAATATCTTTATGTCTAAAGAATGTGTTAGTTATTTTTAATTTATTATAGGTGACACAATTCCTTAATTCTATACCATTATTTATTATTGTCTGCTTTCCAAAGGTCCCTACTATCTTAGGTATTGGTTTGTTTTCAACTCTTGCATTTAAATCTCCACTAATTATCAAATGATCTTTGTTCTTAATTTGGGAAATAACTTTCTGTAGATTTTCATAAAAAGTTATGGTTTCTTCTGTTTTTCCTTCTTCTGGGGCATATACTCTCACCACATTTAGATGTCCTATCTCTATTTTTAATCTTACTGTTATTATTCTTTCATTTACATAACTTACTATTTTAGAGGTCAATTTTCTATCACTCAATACTGCTACTCCACTACTTGCTCTTTGACTTTGGCCTACTCCAGAATAGATCATTGTATAATCGTCAAAATATTTAGTTTCCTTAAGCTTTTTCTTCGTTTCGGTTAAAACGACTATATTAATACCACATTCCTTTAATTCATCATTGAGTTCTTTTTCTTTGGTACCTAAACCTCTTACAATCCATGTGGCAACTTTTAGTCTATCCTTTATTCCGATCTTTGTCCTTTTCTCGCTTATGTTGTCGTATATGGGATGTATCCGGCTTATCTATGTGAAGATGTTTAGAAATTGAAATGTCCTCTGACCGCGTTACAGGCGCCGTGCAGAGTAATCACAATAGAGGGGCTGCCACTTCACTGCATCTGAGCCAGCAGGATTTGATACCAGGGTTTTCTCCCTTTGGGAAGTCGGTTTCACCTGCAGAAGCTCCCCTACCCTTTGAGGAGCCTTCTTCCGCCAGTTTCATCTTCTCTTCTTCGACGAAGCCGCCGTTGAGGTCCTCTTCGAAAGTACTTCGTGACCCCTCCCCTTCGACCTGTCCGGCAAGGAAGGCCGTATCGGTAGCTACGCTACCGCCGGCATAGTTCTCAGGGTCACGGGGTTACTCAAGCTCCACCATCAGTTACAAGGTCATGTACTCCCAAGACAGAGAAAATTTGAAAGATATTTTAATTTTGAGGGGGTACTTTATATGAAGCCCCAAGGACATTTTACAATTTAAAAAAATGTCTCGATTGTTTATGATTAAATTTTGTTGTTGGATAGTGTGAAAGGCGTTTAAGAGAATGGGGCAGGTCTTGTTTTCATCAAAAACTGTTTTTTTTTTTCGGAAATTTGCAAAATTAAAAAAAATTCGTAGTCTTCCTGCCACAAAAATATTAAACATAGAGTTTTTCCCTTATGAAATCTGTTCTTTATAGACAGATTTTGAAATAGGCCATCGAATAGGTTCTTCGAAAATCTTCGAAAATCGAATTTTGCGTAATTTTATGACAAAGTACGTGCTGGTACGTTTCTTGAGGAGATGAACGGAATCGAGAGAAAGACTGTGTATCATGTGATGCATCATCAACCTGCGATTAACCAGATAATTTAATCAGTGATTATTATGCACTGATTACTGAGCCCGTTCTTTCAAAACAATTTTTAATTTTAAAGTAGCATTATTTTAATAATAATAATAATAATAATAATAATAATAATAATAATAATAATAATAATAAATATTAGTTCTGGGAATACGGAATTTATAGTTAAAACTATTTAAAACAGCAAGTATAAAAGATATGTTCACTTCTGAAGCATATTTGTTGTGAAACTTAAACAAGCAAAGTTTGTTGTTAAATGTACCTGAATGTTTATTTTACTGGGTAAGCTTATTTCACTTTTAAACAATTTACGAAGGAATCACTGTTATTGTCAATACATTTTTCTTTCGGCACCAAACAAGCAGGTGCGTGCCTTTGGTTTTGAACTCGTGGCCACGTCGGTCACCAGCTCCCCTCCTCTGGGTAGCATTAGAGGAGAGGGGATTAAGCATACTTCCCGACATGCTTGAAAGCGCCAGCCGCCAACTGGTGAATCCCGCCACCAGCTAAAAGTTGCATTTTAAACTGATCAACTGGTATTATATAATTACTAATTCACCATGCCGTATCTGGCAACGCGTCCCGTGGCGTGACTTCTCGAGAATAGCCTCTTTACGATACATCCGGCACGCTAGCTCATCGCAAAAAGAGTCCATGTCCCTCCTCCTGGTCACGACCACGCCTCCCAAGTTTACATGGGGCATTGCTTTTCTATTGAAGCGAACTGTGGTATAGGGATTGTATGCGTTCATTCTCCGCTGCTACTGTTTGAGAACGGGTTTCACGTCTACTACCATAGCAAACCATTCATTCTATCTTGCCCTCTGTGTGTCCAAATAAACTACAATAACGTAAAATGAAAAGTTTATATTAATGTGGGGGGTGTCTTCTGGCTTATCACAAAACAATAGGAGAAAGTGTAAAATAAGGTACTATGCAAGTAAGTTAATATGGTTCTTAATTCAAGGTATAATTTTCGCTGAACTCTCTAACTTTTCAAAGATTCGAAAAGTTGGAAATTTGCGAGAAAATATGTACTGTTAAGCACCACTGGCTTTAACAGTATGTCTATATGATTAGTGGCTTTGACTACGGCGGAATATAATTTGTATATATACTTAGGCGATAGCAGTCGCATGGTGTGTTACATTTGCGCTGAAGTGTCATGTAAAGAAACGGAAGAAGCGCACGAATGAAGAAATTCCTGAAAGTATTGGAATTGAAGACGCTAAAGTTGCGGAGAAAAAGGAGAAAGAGAGGGAGAAGAAAAAAAGAAAAAGTTCGTCCTGGCAAAATAAAACTCATATCTTTTATCACCCATTCCATAAAGAACTATTATCATTTCATACATATTTTATCACACATTTACCATTTTAGGATGTATTTATTTTACATTCAAAGTACATTAATTATAATTGGAGGCGGACCAAAATTTGGCGTCGGTGCCATCAGGCCTAATTCTAGGTCAATGACCCCATCTCGATCAGGTTTTGTTCAGTTTCCCTGGTCCTTTGAGCAAATGCTGAGATGGCCCCTTGTTTGCTCCTGAACAGTTACTTCGCTCTCTCCACCCAAGGCATCATATTGACTCGTCATAGACGATTGTAATTGTATATGTGACTCAATAAATATTATTATTATCAAGCGTAGTTGAGGTACGCAAGTGTGTGGCACCTTGTTTTACTTTATAACCCGTATGACTTACTGGTTTGTACGAACCGCTCTTATGACGAAGCACGTGCTCATTGATATCCAAATATATATACTCTTAGTAGCATGGAATAAATATTTTTCCAGTGTTCACTGGAGTTTTAGAGATGTTGAGGTCACTGAATTTTCCATATTTTGTAAGCGTGAAGATATTCCACTTCTCAATTTCAAGTTGCTACAGTTGTAAATTTGAAATCAGAGTTTCATTTTGCCTTAATATGTAAAATACAAGCTATAAATTAAGGTACGAAATATGATTCATGAAGGTAATAATATCGCTTATAAAGCATGTGCCGATAAAGTGGTAGACTGCAGTATCAAGGTGAAATGTCTTTGCAACACGAAGTGGGGCAGGGTGTGCGCCGATGTCATGTGACAGAGCATATGATCGATTCTGCAATCTGCAGATGGCAGTCAGCAAGTGGGTGACGATGAAGTCGTTTTTGTTGTTATTTGTGAGTGTAGTACTTGTTTTTGGAAATGAACATGTTCCTGTTCTTGTATGGGAAGCAAAAGGTAGTGTTAGTAGGCAAATACCAGATTTGCCATCACTATCGAAGTTAAGTAGCGAGGAATTCTCTGACTTTTTTATCAAGAAATTGTCAGGAGAGGCAGGCCCTCAGCCTCTTATTGCCGTCTTCGTCGAAGAAAATTTAAGCGTTGAAGACTTCAGCTGGCAAGATGCTGAAGGACACATTGGATTTCCTCATCTAGAGAATCTGACCAGCGCTGCTAAGCGGGTTGAATTCTTTCCGTCTGTGCATGCCCCTTTGAAAGGTTTGAAACGTTTGGGATATCGTTGGCAAACATTGCAAGTAGAAGATCAGGAAAACGATTTATCTTTACCATCTGAGGGGGGTGTAGTATTAATTGTAAAATTGGGAGATGCAAGAATCGATGAAGATAGACCTGAATTTTTGAAGAGGCACGATTATGTCATCAGTGAAATATACAATGATTTAGTAGCAAAAAATAAAGACGTTATTGCTCTGTACACTTCTCGTCACTCATCATGGGTAGAGCCTGCATATGAACCATTGGTACGAAGAGTAAGAAGTGCTCCTGACCTTGATGAGAATGCTATTATGTGGAACGATACAGACATTATCTTCTATACTACAGTGACACCTGTATTTATACCAAACACAAAAGATCCAACAAAATTTATAAATATCTCAAAACCTATGTGTACAAGAGATGTACGCGCTGCCAGTAAATCACTAAAATGTAAATTTGATAACAATAATTATCGCCTTGAATTCCGTTTTACAACAGTGAATAAATATTGGTATCTTAATATTTATATTACAGATATGGGTAGTAATGGTACATTGCTTTCTACAGACACAGAAATTTATGCTCCTGAAGGGTTTTCATATCACTGTAGTCAAAACGTTACATTTAAAAATGACACAGTGTTATTGGTCCTAAGGAATTTTCAAATACAACCAGACAGCAAAGGTACATTTGATGATGCTTATGATTGTGTTTGGTTCTTCACTGTTCCCATTTGGTCGGGTTTATTGGTTACCACTATCCTTGTCATTATTCTAATGATGGGGCTTGCAGCACTAATGGACATCAACACAATGGATCGTTTTGATGATCCAAAAGGAAAACCTATTAATATTAATGTATCAGAATAATTAATTTTCTGAGAAAGTAAGGGTTTTTTTTTGGAGTATTAGTAGAAAAACAATAGTAATGATACATTTAGTTGTAAAGAATGATGTGTATTATTTTCTTTTTTTGTTTTTTGAGAAGAAAATGAAGTAATTTGTTAGTGAGTGTGTATGTACTACATGGTACATGGTGTCAGTTAAAACATAGTGGGTTTAATGGTTCCTTCCTTTCAATTTGTAAAAGATGCAATGCTTGTACTTAGAAACCAATTTAAACTTTTTTCTTTGTGAAAATCAAATTTTTTGAAATTTCTTCCATTTAGTAAAATTATTTGCCTTTGTCACATTTTATGAAGTTAGTAACGAATTCTGTTGGGCTTTATTTTTCAATTCTTTGGTGGTAAGTTGTGAGTGATATAGATTTGATACTGAAACAATACAAATATTGTATTGATCTTTATCAATATTTAATTTTACGTTGTCATTTGCTTTTATTAAGCATTCCTTTCTTGTTTTCTATTTTATGGTTGTGAATTTGGTGAAGTACTGTCAGTTTCAATGATTTATGAGTTTTTGGAAAATTTGAAGACAATTTGTAATTTATATTTTTAAAGTTAATTCTGTGAATGAATTATTATTATTTGTTCATTACAGTAATGCAAATGCGAAAAGAGAAGTAATAAGATTAAATTGGGTGACATGAGTGCATCACTATAGAGAATCTACATTAATGGTCATGGTTTGAATACTGCTTTTGTGATTGAAATGTAGATTGAAAATAATTGAAAATTTAAAAAATGTTTGTCATCTGGTTGAATTTTTAGGAAGATTTGTTTTGCTTCAATATCATTCAGTTTTAATTATTCAACTGTTCAAAGCATTAGTCATTCTGAGATTATCAATCTGTTTTAGTATTGAAGCTCATTTTGATGGGTTTCTTGTGCTTTTTTGAAGTAATGGTTATTCTCACTGTTTGTTAAATTTTTGCATGTGTCGATGTACATAATTTTTGCTTCCTATTTAAAATGTATATAATTCATTGGATTGGGTTTGCAAGATCACCATCATAAAATGTGATGTGATTATTAATAATTAGGAGTGGTATGTAATGTTCCAGTGTCATTAATAAATTGGTATGAGGGTGTATTTAAATTTGGTACTACATACCTAAGAAGTATTTGATAAAAAGAAAATAAATATTTTTGTGTATATAATTTAAAAAAAAAGGGTTCTCAATCCATTACTAAAAATGAATGTAATGTTTTAGTCATTGCAAACTAATATTTTAATAGGAATGTACTAAATATACAGTTAAACCAGTGCAATAAATAATGGGTGTGTAAAATTATTTAGATCAATCTGTTAAGAATAGGTTTGTTTTGTAAAGATCTTTTTATTATTCTGTATCAACTTGATGACCCTATATAATTTAAAAATATATAATACCCATATAATTTTTCCAAGTTTCAGAAGCATCAGGTTTCACTGTATATTAATATATCTATTTACCTATGTATGTGTTAGTCTGTTTTGCGTAGAAAGAGACTTACTTGTGGAGGCTCTTTGAATAACTGGCAATTCACTGCCAAAATGCAAGATTGGGTTAGGGAGGATGAATATAATTTATGAGAAACACTTGTCTCGAGTGGTGGAACGTTACGATAATCTGAATTAATCTATTATCAATTTTTGTTTTAAGTCCTAACTTTTGAAATTGTAGTGTGTGGTAGGATTGATAAGCATAACCAGATGACCTACACAGCATTTTTACAGGAAGTGAGCACTGAAAGTTTGCGGGGCAATTAATGAAATCTGCGGAATTGTGTGCGTATTGTGTACAAATTGATGCTGAAATTTTGGGTTTGGCTAATTATGGGCATATATTGCTTTTTGGTATTTATTTCATTGTTTATATCTCCTTGCTGATGATATTGAAAGATTCCATGTTTGCATGGGTTTTGGTATGTTAAATCGTTGCTTGTGACAGTATTCTGCATTTTTGAGGACTTTCATTTATGCTTTTACTCAAAAACTACCAGTGCTGTCAGAGATCACTTTGCTGGTGACTGCTTATTGATGAGTGATTGGGAAAGGTTTCCTTCTACCATTGATTCAAAATAATTAGATAATGAGAATTTGTGAAATGAATGGGGTGTTTTTTCCATAGTAAAGACCATTAAAAAATATTGTGGGCCACAGGAAAGTGTTGTATAATATATCAAGACTTCTGTATTGAATGCCCAGCAAGTTTTATATATAATACTTGCTGTTTTATTGTTACGATTGTACTTATTGTGTATCATCTTGTGAAATGTACCAGTTATAATCAGTATTAGTGTATTTCTGATTTGGAGCACAAGTCTTTGTATCATAAGTAAATCATAATATTATACTTCTTCCCTGCCAGTAATAATGTAAATATATATTGTTCAAAATTGCTGGTTTCATGATTTTCTATTTGTACATAAGAATAATGAATTATAATGTGTAGATATCTTATTGTAATTATTGTGGGATCATTGTAGATACTTCATTATGCATAAACACTGGGTTATGTGGTATAGAATTATTTATTTTAATTCTATCATACGTTGTTAAAAAATTGGAAGTTATAGAAAATTGTACAGCATCATAAGCTGTGTTGAAAATAGCAATTTGGGGTAGATTTGTCAAATATTAATTGTAACAGCTAAGAAGTCTACTTGACATTGTGATACCTATTCATTTCAGAAAAGAATGGAGAATTGTAGTGAGTTTATGGTAAACTTGGTTACATACATAATATTTCATTTTTTTTTTCCCACACATCTATTGAACTAGAAGTACATTCCTTGATTACGACTGTCATGTTACAAATGAATAGTGATGTCACAATGCTTTGTTGGCTCTATAGCATTCCTTTGTTCCAAAAAATAAATTTGTTGAAGCATAGTGTTACGTTTTATTTGAGAAATCTTACTTCTTTTTTTTTTATCATTCGATTTTATATTTTCAGATAAGTAGATTTAATAATAGTTCCTCATATTGACTTTCTATAAAACAATACTATCAAAAACTGTCATATTCAATTCTAATAGTATCTGATGGAGGATGTTTACTTTTTCCCTGAGCAAGTGATGAGATGGTTTGCCATTTTTTTTAATGAATGGAATGGTGTCATTGACCACAGAACCACCATGTAAACATTTTTGGCATATCATTTATGTGACCCTTAAATCTAAACCTGACAAAAGTGCTCATTTGTGCAGAAATAAATACCTTCTGCTACAGCAAACTCATGTCCCACAATGGAATAAAATATGTTACAAAAAATTGTATTAATGCCAAAGAATAATTTAAAATGGAAATAATATTGCAATGTTTGAATTATAGTATTTAATTGCATTAAACAATTATTATAAATTTGTTTCATTTGCCTTACATTTTAAATATAATTTCAAATGGACAAGAAAAATATTTGAATAATTTCTATGTTACCACAACATTATATTTATCAGCAATGCAGGCTTCCACATTTACTCCATGGAGGGTCCAAAATCCTAGTGAATGAGGCGGCATGTAAATGGGTGAATGCAGACTTTGGTTAAAGGGCTTGAAATACGGCAAGGATTCATCAGATTTAAGCATCAGAGGGTCTTCATTGAGACAAATATACCTAGGAACAAAGTTACAAGTTATTAACGTATGGAATTAGTATTTAGTAAGTCCTTTCTATTATATTAAAAATCAAGTTTTAAATCAATTATTATTCATTTTTTGGAGCAAACAATAAACCCTCAGTAAATCAGATCGAACAAATTTTCTTTCCATTATGTTTAAATGTGAATGGTGTTTGTTAATAAACTTTGGAATTTGCAAAAGCTCCAAAAGGGGACTTACAATGTTCTGAAGTAATTTTAAAAAATATATGTTCACATTTGATTCTGGTGTTTGAGTTTGTTATTTCCTTTCAATATTGCACATAAATTATGTTAAGTGAAGCATAATCCTCCACCAGCTGTTTCCAAGTAATGCAATTACTGCTGTATCTGACGGCCACATGGGTTGGCCATTTGAAAGTATATTTGAGATAAATTTGTTTCAATATTTCAATATTATTTTCATAATTATATTGCAATGAAACTAGTTACATTGGTTAGAAGAGCGTATTTGCAGTCTAAAATCATTAAGAAAAAAACAAAACAAAAAAATATGTTCATACTGAACTGAATTTTATTTCAATGTAACTTTTATTGGAAATATATAGTTTTTATTACTTTAATTTGGAAAATTTAACTTCTTGAAGTATTTGTTATTAATTCAAATTTATAGAGAATTGAGATTAAATTAATATCTTATCGGTAAAATATTCAATTAACCAATTTTAATAGTACTAATTGTTACTAGGCGATATTAACATTGGAATGAAGTTCCTACTGTATTCTAAATAAAATCAGATGACAACATGAATGCAATAATAAGTTCATGATATGGTGTGTTAAAGTGAAATTTTAATAACATTATAATGTGTTAAATTCTCTAAAAATGTGGAGTATAAATATAAAATAATATATAAAAATAATATGGAACAAAAAAGTATTGTTTCAAAACTGAACAATTAAAAATAACTTATTCTTAATTCTTCTTCAGTGAATTCCAAATAAAATATGATACTAAATTATGGTTTAAACAAATGAAATTGCACGAACCTTGATGTGAGAGTTTTACATCCAGTGAGAATGTAAGCTGAAATGTGAGCTGAGTTTAATGACCTGTTGCTTTTTAATTTAAAATGAGATGTAACATTCAAAAGATTCAGTGCAAATAAAGTGACAATACTCCCTTTAGAAAACATTTCTTCTTTAGAAGAACAATGAGCATATATTCGTAAATTTCCATTGCTGCTTACAAATTGTTCCAAATCTAATACTGTTGTGCCCACTAGTTTCTTGTATATTATTGATAACCACCAGTCCTGTTTTCAAATAAACATTAATTTGGCTATAACTCTCATAACATAAATTATGTTGGCAAATACTTACTGGTAAAGGTTCAAGCGTTTGAGTGTCCAATAAAGCATAAGAACCACCATACAATGACTGACGAACAACTACGTCAATTCCATGTCTAGCAGCCGTTCCTAATTTATCCAACCAAAGAAAACCAGCTACATAGGTGTTCGACAAACCAGGCGCTCCCCCACCATATGCTGAGCCAGTTTCAGCTATTCAAAGCATTTCTATGTAGGTAAACAAAATTCATCTCAGCATTTGATAAATAACCCTTAGAAACAACTTACAAAGCCATACTGGAATCCCAGGTAAATGTTTATCCACGACTTCATTCACAGCCAGAATCTGTTCTTTCAAAACGTTTAGTGTGCTGGGATTAATAAAATCCTGAAGTGTTGCATCTCTCCCATTCAGGTAGTATCTGAAATTGTCAGATGTATTAGGGATATAGGATGATATTTCTGAAACTGAATTGTGATATAGCATATAAATAGTACTTACTGATGCCATGTAACAGCATTTATTGTTGTGTTACCCACAGAAAGAAGAAAATCTCTCAAATAATGAATAGCGTCTTCTCCCACATGATGGGGTCTTGTAACATCTGGACCAATGATCATAGAGTTCTTGAATTGGGAGAATTGGTTAAAAAGTGAACGTAGCTCTTGAAAATCGATTCCAAGTTGAGTCGGAGAGACATACGTTCCAAATTTATGTCGAAAAGAATTGGGCTCTGACAATGAATGAGGATTGATTAAGTTTGAAATTTACATATAAGGAAAAACATAATTATAATTTTTAATCATTGAAGTACCATTTCCCAACTGCCACACAATATTGTGATCAAAATGACTTGAAAATTGAAGGAGATCTAATGCATTTGAAGAATCCCATTTCTCATGGTTCCTTAGCAGAACATTCAGATCAAATACTATCTGAAGTTTAGATGCTTCAGAAAATGTATTAATACTTGTCCATAAACTTCCTGAAATCCATATAACCTCAATGACACATCAATACAATAAACATGCCTCAAATATATTCATAAAATTATTAACACAATATGAATTATTTGTTTAATTTAATTCAATTTCATGATTATTTTAAGTACACTACATCATACCTGACATTGTAAAATTATCAGTATCAGTTTTGCATTCATCATAAAGGCCTTGGTCTGATTTTGGTGAATCAGATATTGAAACTTTATTGCTTTGCAAACCATGTTCATCGAATAATAATCTGTCAGCGCTGTTTCCACCAATTCGCAAAAATGCAGGGGTTAGTAAAGATGTTTTATGAAGGAATGAGCTTGACCTGAGAAAAGACACAATCTTAAAAGTGTCATAATAGTTTTAAATGAGCGAAGGACTGTGATAGAACCTTCTACAGACAAAAACAATTTTAACCTACTTAATACAATATATTTGTCCATTTCGAATAAGTTCTGTGTCTAAAGCTACACTAAGGAATTTATCGCTGACATCTTTCACAGCTGTCAATCTATCTATGTTAATAGTAGGCGATTCAGTTATATTTTCTTTCAACCCGCGAAGATAAAGAGTAATATAGCAAACCACAAATAGTCCAACAAATTTACTAACAAAATACGGCATTTTCTTAACAGAATGCAAACCTCCAATTTGTGAAGAGATAGTAACTAGCGATCTCGAGAGCAAAAATCAGGTTTAGGTCAAACAGGTCAAATAGCAGACCGAAAGACAAAAAGACACCAGAATAACGAGAAGTATTTGTCTTGTTCTTGCCTTGCTTTGCCTTGAGAAGTCGATCTCAATTCGAGAACTGATAATAGGGGCAGTGTCAAAAGATTTAGTTTTAATAAAAGCTCTCACAAACTCTTCACGAATCTTATTGGACTCTTAAAGCAGATAGCTAGGTGCAGGTATTTTGATACAGTACCATTTGTATCAGTGTTGCCAGATGTGTTTAGAGGGTTTCCGCCAAGTTCGTATCAGTTTCCGCCGAAAATCCGCTGAACTGGTTTTAAATTTCCCGCCTAAATCCGCTAAACGTAAAATAAATTATTTTTCCATATTTAAATGTTGTATTAATTGCTTCTCTTAAAAAATATGATTGCGAAATATAATGGCTTTATTGAACCTTCAATTCAATTTTTAGATAATATAGAATGCATTACCTGGGTGCAAAATAATAACAATTGATTTCAGGTATTATATAATTTATTATATTAGTATTACACTATTTATTCTTGCTAGTAACATGAATTTAGAAATTTTAAAAATATACATCTGTGGAAAACAACGTATTAATAAAGGTTAACGAAAACTGATGCTTTTACTAGTTTTACTGCTTTACTAACTTTATTAATTTCCGCCGTTTATTCCGCTGTCCGCGAAACTAATTTTTTTTCCGCCGTACGAGTTCAAAATCCGCTGAAAACGGCGGGAATTCCGCCGATATGGCAACACTGGTTTGTATTATGGAAGTAATTAATTAATGATACTACAGCAGCACGTAGGCCCTACTTTCGCGCGTTATTGCTAAATAGTTATATATATACACACATACATACAGCTCGGAATATTTTCAAAATATAATTAAAAGTGTGTCGACGTAGTACCATTAGAAGGATAAATAAAGGAAATATAAACAAAAGTGAGACATTGAAAATTTGAGATTACGGAAAATGCAAACAAAGTTCGGCTGAAGTCTAGTACACGGTACAACTTACAGAAGACTGTTTAAACCGGCACTTCGCGCACCGGTAGCAACTGCCAAGTTTGAATTCTGGAGGCTTTCTTGAAAAGGGCTTTCTTATAAAAGTGAATTGGTAATAATGCGTAACTCAAGGATGTTTATAGTGAACGCGAGGGCCGAAGACCCAAGCCTCGCAGTGACTTGGATCTGGGTGAGCGAAGCGAGAAAACTCGCCTTTGAAAGTAAATTGACATTACAATGCGGCGGGGACAAAGAAGGGCAATATATGAAAATCGCCTATCCGTAATTTCTATCAGAGTGCGTAGCATAGCCCCCTCCCCCGCTCTGTCAGGGTGTACCGTATACCCTACTTTAACAAAAAATTCATTTGGGTAATATATTTTAAATATTAGAAAAATATTTTTATTCGAGAAAATATTTTCATATAATACCTTGTTATATAGACAAAAGAACTTAGAGTAAAACAATTAAAAAACAAGAGAAGAGAATATCTAAACGAGTTGCCAGAACAATGTTATAGGAGAACGTGACATGTCGCGATGACAGTAGGATGCTGTGCCGCGAGCAGCAAAAACCTTATGAAGTTTATAATAAAAGTCAGAAATGTTTTGAATAGATTCGAATAGTTCGCCTCGAAATGATTGAATTTATATTGTAATTAAGTAAAGAAAAGTGCGGTTAGTGTAGATATTTTCTTAGTAATATAGAAGTCTGGAATACTGCAAGAAAAGGTTGATGGACGACCCCAAAACATAATTTTGGAAATATAAGTGTACGACATGTAATGGAATTCCTCTCGACTCATCGTCAAGATGGCAGTTTGTCGTCAAAAGGATAGTGTAGAAAGAAAAAAACCGTAAAGACTTTGAGAACGTTACATACTCGCAAATTGACACGTACTACGTAATAATAAATAAGCATACTGTCTGATCATCTGCATCCATTTATGTCTATTGTGCATCCCTACGGACTTGGGTATTTCCAGCAGGACAATGAGACAGCCTGCACGTCCAAAATTGCTACAGAGTGACTCCATGAACACTCTTCTGAACTTAAATACTTCCACTAGCCACCAAAATCCCCAGACCGGATAAAATGACTAATCGAAAAAAAGTGATTAATCTCTTCAACCAATACTTTTCTAGAATTGCGGCTGAACTCTCGAAGGGACTAAACCCACAAAATTCCACATCATTCCCTTCCCCAAATATTTTGGACCCGATATTTCCGAAACATCTTCTAACCAAATACTGAGAATAGCATTAAACTAAAAAATAAATATTCATCTGATTGAGATGAATTTCCAGATTTTTTATTGAAAACGTAAATACCTGCCTTTATACACCTGTTAACTCTCATTTTCAATGCTTCTTTATGCCCAGCTATTTTTAAAACAGAAAAAATTAAGACACTTTTTAGAAAAAGAGAACAAATATTAAATTCAAACATACCGGCCAATTTCTCATTTGTCAGTTTTCTCAAAAATATTAGAGAGGTTTTTCTATGGAATGGGTGAATGGGAATTTTTCTCAGGAAAAACGAAGCGTTTTCAGACTCGCAAGGTTTTAGGAAATCAAAATCTACGGAAACTGCCATTTTTTTCTTTTCTTAACGATGTTGATTAATCAATGGACCAAATTGAAGCACCCATTTTAAGATTTTTAGATCTTTCGAAAGCTTTTGGCATTATTGATCATAACATCTTGCTATCAAACTTACCTTCTATGGAAATTGTGGTATCGCCCTAGATTGGATAACCTCGTACCTTCCATATCGATCTCAAAGAGTAGAAATACCGCACTGATACGAAAGGACATTATTTACTTATCTTTCCAATTCTTTACCAATTGAATATGAGATCCCGTAAGGTTCGATCTTAGGTCCTATCCTCTTTTTGTTCTACGTAAATGATATGCCCTCGTCTGTTAAAAACGGAAGAACAGTTCTGTTTTCAGTTGACACGAATGTTCTTTGCAAAAAGAAACAATAAATAGTGCGATTTTAGAAGTTTCGAATTGGTTTTGTAATAAAAAATTAACAGTTAACGAAGGGAAAACAGTTTCAATGCATTTTTGCATTTCAAATCAGCAATCGCATTCTCCATTGAAAACGAACAATATATAATTAGCTGATGTTAAGGTAACAAAATTTCTAGGTCTCTCAATTCAGTCAAACCTCAAATGGGGTGTACATATAACAGAATTAAACACTAAATTAAGTTCATTGTGTTACACATTTAGAATTATTTCAAATTCTGCCAGCCTTCATGCGGTTCGTTGTGCGTATTTTGCTAATATGCATTCCCGCATGAGATATAGCATAATATTCTGGGGAAGCTCATCATACGGTATTCAAACCTTTAGATTGCAAAAGAAAAATTGGAATAATGAAAAATGCCATCCGCGTGATCCCTGCCATCCTTTCTTCATTGAGCTTGGAATCTTACTATTACCTTGCCTATTTATTTACGAATCTGTAATATTTGTCAAAACTGACTTACTCAACGGTGGGAACATATTTTCATGCAATACTGATATTTATGATTACAACAAACGTCGAAGAAATCACATTCATCAAGTGTCAGTATCAACAGCTCACTACCAGAAATCCACATACATGTATGTTACTTTACAGCGCATTGCCAGATGACATTAAACAATTGAAGTCGGTACACAAATTTAAGTTAAAAGTAAAATATTTTCTGCTGCATTACTTTTTCTATAGAATTGGAGACTACTGATCAACAAAAAGAAAAATAATGTTCATTTTAACAAAACAGTGATATATAATGAATTAGATTACACTTGTATACTTAAAAAAAAGACTTAATATGCTTGTAACAAATAATGTACTTCAGCTTCCAGGCCAATGACCTCCATCTCGATCAGGTTTTTGTCCAGTTTCCCTGATCCATTGAGCAAATGCTGAGATGGCTCCCTTGTTTTACTTCGGGATATAAATGTAGCTTCACTATGCGCACGTTTTGTTGAACACTCATTTTGCTTACAGAACTAGGAATAGAGGTAAAGGGCGATTTACTATTTTGTTAGCAATGCAGAAAAATCAAATCTGCAGTTCGTTTACCGTTGCAAATAAGTTTTCTATAACTCGGAAACGAAAATGTCTAGTTTTTTCAAATGTCGCTAATCTTGCGCATTTTTTAAAATTTTATTTTTATTTGTTTATCTTTAACTTTTCCAACTATTTATAGTTAAAATGATGGGAAGGGATTCTGGAACTCAAGGAAACGCGCGCAGATTATCTTCTCCCTCATACGACACATATAGCTTTTACTATTTTTTGACTAAATGAATCTAAATCTGGGAATCTGATATTTGGAATGACTTGTAACGTGCTATTCAAAAGAGATATCCACCCAATGCCGGATCCACGAGGAGGAGATGGGGGCCATGGCCTCCCCAAAAGGCTTGGAGTATTCATTTACCTTCCTTAATTTGGTTAAATTGATTTAAATATATATTTATATTCGAATAATGTGATTATTTAAACAATAACATTGTAAAGCATCGTTTCTACAGTACATAAATAATATACAATATAGTAACAAATATGTTTATTATTTAACACATATCTACGTTGCCTCCCCCCCCTTAATGGTCGGCTTGATCCTCCCTTATCTCCACTCCCTCGTACTCTTCAGCACTTAGGGACAGCCCAGCAGGATTCATAGTGTCAATTAACTCCAGCACTACTTCAGATATTAAGACATTAGTAGAGTCCATGCCACGTCGTGCTGCGGAACTTGTGTGTGTGTCTATATATATCTGTGTGTGTGTATGTGTGTGTGTGTGTGGGGGGGGGGCGTGCATGCAACCCCAGCAACTGTTGGGGAAAGCAAAAATGAGAATTTGATGGATTTTGAGAATTAAAATGACAATGAACCGTACTATGCCACACGATCAAAAATATTGCGCCCACAGCACACTACTGCAAACAGTGCGGCGGCCTACAGCTTCTGCAATGCTCTAACGAAGCCCAGCTCGGACATATTCGCTGGACCTGGGTGTTGCGCGCGCATCTACTTCACTGGGTCAGACGGCGATCGGGGAGAAGCCGCAGCCGATAATGCACTGAACTCTAGCTAACTGGGAA